TTCAGAGAGCGACCCCCAATCCAGTTGATGATCTTCACTGAATTGCCAAAAATATTTGGAGGCAATTTTTTGTAAATTGAATTTAAGTGCGGAATCTCTTGTTTCACGCAGTCCTGGGTTCTTTAACGTTCCCGTCTAGCGCGGGTGTACAGTCAACGAGGGCCAACAGGATAAGACGGACTAGTCGATATTTTACTGAAAGACCTATCTACACAAAGAAGCTAAGTGAAGAGTCCTAACTACAAAAATAAACTGAATCTGGGGTATTGTCCACAGGGGCGGCGGAGAGCAGTGGGATCCAGCGGAGAAAGAGACACAGGTTCCTCGTCCGAAGTGCGGCGACCGGCCAGCTGTTCTCGGAGGTTAGTCCTCGCCCGGATTTATAGCTTCTCCAGGGACCGAAGGCGTCAAGGTCGAGTCCGCCACCGTTGATTCGTTGAGGGTAGATCGTGGGGGAAAGTTAAACAAACTGAGGCAAGTGCTATTTTGCTCAATTTAGGGTTCTATTGATTTATTTTATGTATACTTTTCACGAGAAGCTATATTGCGACTAAGTGCCTGGCGTATAAATATGGAAAACTTTTTCGCGCACTCGCCCCTAAAGGGGCGCGCTTTCTAGAACCTTCTAAAGGATGTCAGCAGCACGTGGTCTGGCTTTCTAGAACTTCCTACTGTTCTGACCTTGTTTTACTAAGCAGGTGAAAACTCATGTTGTAGAGAATCCCGGACCATGCTCGTCACATCTGCACGATCATAGCCGGTGATCTGCATACTTGAAAAGTTCCACCCTCGTTCGTTATATGTTTGTTCTTTCGTTGATCATTGTTACATTTTGTTTTCCACCTTCTGTCTTTTCCGGGTTAACCTTTACTTTGATATATGTACATATTTTCCCAACGTCGCCTATTTTCTTAGTTCCTGTGTTCAATTTGTTATTCGTTTTCTACTGACGTTTACATACTCTGTTGTAATAAACTTTATCACCTGCACCTGCCTATACTCTTCCTCCCCTAACGCCCAACTCTGCTGTTTTTGAGTCTGTCTGTGAAGAAAGTTCGATGTGCCATGTTCAGATCCTCGTGTTAGTCCTTAGGTTGTAAATAAGAGGAGATTGCACCCATCCAGTATCACTTCGCCCCCTACTGATCCATCTGAAATAGACGCTACAAGTCTAATTGGCCAGCTGCTAAGGGGTGGTTGCACAGTTCTTTCGTGTTTTTCAGGAGGCTTGCCATAGTTGTCTGGACTAAGATCTGGAAAAGATGTATATATATCAGCAGTAAGAAACATTTAATGGTAAGTCACAATCAAAGCTGTCAAAATAATATTGAATTATGTATCATATTGTTCTTGTGAATTTGACATTATAGAAGTAGTGGTCGACTGTTCACCGTGATCTTATATAGTCGTTTATATGTATAACATGGCCTTAATATAGACTTATGACAATTAATATGCAGAGATTTATCGAAAGGGATGTTATATTTAGCTTCTTAAAGGAAATTTAGTGTCAGGTGATTTAGCTGCTGGAAGCAAGAAAGAGAGGGAATGAAGAATACCACTACATGTTCTATGCTTATTAATGACGCTGTCTTTCATGAACTTGATTGCTTTTAATGCTATGGTCCGGTATTATTCAAGCGGCTGACATCATCAGTGCCCTTTTGGACCAAATTCTATATTAAATATATCTGTATATGTAGAGATGCAGTCTGCATTGGCTTCAACAAGGCCTTTGATAAGGCGCCACACAGACGACTCATATTTAAACTTCGCCAAATGGGTGTGACTGGTAACCTACTTAAGTGGTTAGCCGACTTCATCACAGGCCGGCGTCAGTGTATGTGCATTGGTGACGCCAAATCAGAGTGGGAAACTGTTCACAACGGGGTTCCGCAGGGCAGCGTCCTGGGTCCCATTCTGTTCTTAATATTTGTGAACGATTGCCTAGATTTCCTAACCTGCGAGAAAGTACTGCTCGCTGATGATCTGAAGATGTGGATTTCGATTTACAAATCAGAGGGCGCGCCAAACTTTCAAAACAACTTACGTAGACTGCAATAGTGGTGTAATGAATAGCCTCTAAGCCTCAATTTCAACAAATGCCAACTCATAAGTCTGAATTTTAGTTACAGAAATGATTTGAGATCTTAATATCAGTATTTCCTTGACGGTCACTTGAGAAAGCATAAATAACTATCTGGCTAGTTTGACAGAGCATCCAGTCAGTAATTCTGTCGGCATATTACCTGGATAAGTCAATTTTGACCCCTTCTGTCCAACTATCTCTGTAGGAACAATTATTCCGGCAGAAGACAGAATTCAAATCGTTTTCTCTGTACTGAATATTTGATTACACCAAGGGGACTTCATGAAAGGGGAAAGTTGCTTTGTTGTTGATCCGTCCTCAATCATTTCTAGGTCTTTACTTGTTTTCGGTAGGGGGCTGTTTAAATCCCACTGAGAGGGAATTCCATAGAGGCACCCTCCGGATTGAATATTACAGCTTGATTTTTTGTCCACTCAACGGCTGTATAAGTATTCCGTTATCCTGTCCATGCCAGTCGGTTCTGTGCGGAGTCATCCTAAGTCTTCGGATTGATCTTCAGCCCTTCAAGGATTTTTGGAGGTGTGCCTGTATCAATGGGTTTTATCTTCTGGTCGGCGGGCTCCCATAGGCTCATCTTCACGAAAGATTTCTTCTTCTAAGCCAGCGTCGTTCATTCCTATGAGGCTGTCGCTCCCTCGTAGTTGCAAATGCCTCAGCATGTCGTGGAATTTGAAGATTCAAGTCCGTTCTAGAACTCCAGTGTCAGAGATTCTGTCCTGCAACACCAGCTTTAGTATATTTTGGAGACAAGTGAGATGAAATTAATTGAGCCGTCGGCCCTGACTTTTCTCATTATCCAGTTTTCCTTTCAGTACAGCAGAGCATGCAGAATAACAGAATCGTGCGTCTTCAGTTTGGTGTTCAGGTGGAGACGGAGAAGGTTACACATGGTGTTCTGTAGCCGGACAAGGACGACAAACACAGCAACAAAATGAAGAAAGGGGTAGGCAAGCAAAACTGACGGGTAGCTGACAGGTCAGGCATCCCACCGCAATCATATTGGTCTGTCATGACTGACAGATCCAGCTTTGCATACCACCACACGCATATAGCAAGATGGCAGCGGCAGTAAGTTTTCTCTTATACGGAACGTGTAATGATCCTACCGCAGGTTCACCTACGGAAACCTTGTTACGACTTTTACTTGCCCTAAATGATCAAGTTTGGTCGTCGTCTCGGCACATGTCGAGCACCGACCTTGCGGCTGACACTGCAATGACGCCAATCCGAGGACCTTACTAAACAATTCAATCGGTAGTAGCGGTGTGTACAAAGGACATGGACGTAATCAGCGCAAGCGTATGACTTGCACTTACTAGGAATTCCTCGTTCACGGGGAACAATTCCAAGCCCCGATCCTTGTCATGACGGTGACTGCCCAGTTTGCCCAACCCTTTAGAGCCAGAAGGTCAGACTCGTTGGCACCGTCATTGTGGCGCGCGTGCGGCCCCGGACATCTAAGGGCATCACAGACCTGTTATTGCTCAATTTCGTGCACATTCGTAATGCTTGTCCCTCTAAGAAGTAGACACACCTGCGCCGTACCCGGAGGCTAGCGCCGGACCCACCACCCACACCTCCTACCACAGTTAACGCCCACGCCGCACACTACTCGCCCACGAAAGAGCTCGCAGCACACAGACAGACGCATACCGCAGCAGTCAGTATAAGTGAGCAGTTTCACCAAAACGCCGCCAACACAGGCACAGAGGACAGGCGTACTAATTAGCAGGCTAGAGTCTTGTTCGTTATCGGAATTAACCAGACAA